TATACCATTCTGCCAGTCAGGTTCTTGCATTCTGTGCTTTTGTGTTCAAAGGAAAAACTGGCTTTATTGGCTTGAATATCTGAGCTACTGTTCTTACATAGATTCATATCAGTTCATCGAATTACAGTATGTGATGTTCCCTTTTGAGAACTTTCTAGGGAACCTAGGATTGACTGGTATAAAGGTCTATCAAGAGCTTTTTTTCTTGAAGACTTCATTAACCTGCTGCACAAATCACTGCTTGTCTATTTCCACTTTGAAGAGATCCATGTCTTAATATTTGAACATGAAAAAAGAAAAGACCCGCTTTCAAGGCCTGTGACATGAAACATGATATTGGTTTGTGATCTTTTGTTTTTCCCATCAAGCGGTTTGCCCTATGTTAAGGCTGCAACCAAAGTAGGATGAGCAAGCAGCTTTTTTTCCAGATTGGCAGAACTCTGCCTTAAAAAGTGGGAGGGAGATCATGGCAATGGTATTTGGCCAGTGATGTTTTGGGAATTCCTAATGCACTTCTCAGGAAAAGGATGTAAAATGGTTATTGAGAAAGAGGCCATGCTCGTTTCTATTTATGCTTCACCAGGGGACAGATGGATCTGTGTGAAGTGTTAGAGTGTACAGATAGTCCAACAACTGCTCAACTTAGATGTGAAGATTATTAATAACAAATTATGTAAGGTGTTTTCACAAATTTCTACCAGCTGTTGAAGACTCTGTGTATCTGTTATGTACTTGGAGAAAAGTGGGAGATGTTCATTTTTTTCCTTGATATAAACTTTTAAGCCACAGGTTGGCTTTACATTACAGTAATGAGATTGGAGCTTTAGAGCATCTCTTACATAGAAGCTTTTGTCATTGTTGAATGGCATGTTTAAAATGACTTCCTACTAATTTTTAATGCCCTAAAGAGGGCCTGTGTCCTATTTGCAACCACATACTCTTTCTATAAATCATGGATGGTGAGGTAGCCTTGCCTCACCCAGCCTTCTCTCTTGCTCCCTTTTCAAAATAGCATCTTTATGTGCATTGTTTTGACTGCACTCTAATCCAGGCTTTTAGTCATGTCATCACTGCTTTTGTGTAGTAAGATGCAACTGTTTGGGTAATGTTTTAATTTATTTTGTGATATTTTGTGGTCATGTCTCTGCCTAACGCTTCCACAGAATAAACACACCTTGTGAATGAGTTACGTTGCCATTATTGTAGCAGTACAGCATTCATTGCAGTACCATGATCTCGGTCTGCTCATTGCTAAGGTTACAGTACTCCATCCGTTTACCTAAGCCTTCACCTATTGTGTTGACTAAGATTTGACTTTTTAATTAATGTGCACAGGAGAAGCTAATTTCAAGTGTCCTTGTAAATACAAAATCTGTCACCTTATTCCACTCTCCAGCTGGTAAAATAATTTATTACAAAAGCTATATAAAACTCACATGGAAACAAGTATAGACCAACAAATGTAACCATTGGGTCTAAAATTAACATGTTCAACTGCTAGTACAAAGCATGACTGGAATGCAGAGATAGGGATTTTATGTTCAGTTTAAAAATTCTATTCAAAGAGTCATTGCTTAGCTTTTTCTGTTTGGAAGAGGTCTATCTTTTTAGCTCATCAGTAGTCCTCTTAGATATTCATAGCAGTGAGGAACAATACTTGGAGTAGCTCGATCTTTTCCAGGATGGGTGAGGGAATTGGCTGCCCCAAGATTTTAGAGACGTGTTTCTGGAAGCTTTGAACTTTGCACCTAATATCATATTCTTCAATATAATCTTCTCGCTGTAGCTTGGGTTTAACAGCCTTTGAAATTAAAGGAATCCGGTCACGAACAGAGATTCGTAAGTGCCCTACAAAATGAAGAAATGGAGAACGATTGTTGAATGACGAAGGGAATCGGTTTTAACTGTAAGGGCTGTGTTTACTTTGCAGTTAGGATGTTACAGGTTTTGTTCATAAATGTCCTCTGGAAAACTGAAGTCAAGTTACTGGAATACAGTACAGGGTTATCACTTTTTGGAAAGTCAGGCAACTGGAAATTTTTCAGAAGCCAGGGAAGTTGTGATTAAGATATACTTGCCTAGTTTATCTTTTGTGGAAGTTGGCATGGAGAAGTAACAAAGTATAAGTGGAATTTAATTACAGTACAGTATGTCCTTTCCCAGTTCTACCTTTGTTTCCCCAGTAACCAGCTTACTGTCTTTGTTGAGGTCTGGCCCTACAGGATTTGCAAGGTTAGTCTGTAGCTTTCGCAAAACAAAACTGGTTTATATGTTGTAGAGCAACATATAAACTGCAAGCATTTAAATGTTTTCATTCCTACTTGCTAGTACTACATTTAGCTTATATACAAAGATAAACATGTTTCTTTGGATTTTGCCTCATATGTGTGTACAGACTAACACAGCTATCTCTTCTAAAACATGTTGGGCGCATCCTTGTGTATAGGAGGATTGTCTTTTGTAATTGAATCGCAAATGAGTTTTGCTGCTATTTGATTTCACTGAGAGCTAGCACTTTCTTCAAGCAAAGTGAAGTTTGCAAATAGGATTGTTTGTTCTTGCTGGAGTTTACAGAGAACCAGCTCTCTCACCCTCTTCTAAGACCACTGCCCTGCAGATGAGGGTTGTCTGCTTCTACTAGATTGCAGAAATGATCTGTAAGCATTTTAACACCATCTCCTTCCCTGCTGCTGATCTATTCACTGTCTTGAATTCTGGAGGATTTGAATCTGTTGTAATTGACATAATTGTTGCAGTTGATCAGGCATGCTCTCACACACAAGACAACATTTGGAGGCTAAACACCATCAGAAAGAAGAAACAACTCAGAAGAAACTTGAGGAGAAATTAGACACTTTAAAAAAAGACTGAACAAAGAAGCAAAAATAGAAGAGGAAACAATTTTAAAAGTTGCAAAACAAAAAGAACTGTAAAAGTGATGGTTTTATATCTTAAATCTTTATTTAAAAAAGAATACAGTGGTGCCTCGCATAGCGATTGCTCCGTTTTATAGCGAAATCGCTTAGCGATGCTGTTTTTGCGATCGCCTTGCAATGTTCTCTATGGGGAAATTTCGCTTTGCGATGATCACAGGGAAGCGATCATCACAAAGCCCCCTTTTTCGCACAGCTGATTGGTGGTTTCAAAATGGCCGCCGGGGAAAAAACATGGCCGCCCGCTGTGTTTAGGGGCGGATTCCTTGCTTTAGAGGCACCGAAAATGGCGGTGCTATGGAGGGTCTTCGGTCAACGGTGAGTTTTAAGCCCATAGGAACGCATTGAAGGGGTTTCAATGCGTTTCTATGGGCTTTTTAATATCGCATAGCGATGTTTTAGTTCTGCAGCGATTTTTGTGGAACAAATTAATGTCGCTAAGCGAGGCACCACTGTAATCTGATTTGATTTTTATTTCAGTGACCATTTGGAAAGAACATTGGAATTTCATTTTATATACCTTTTAGTGTATCTTTAAAGGAACAACGAACAAAATCATGTTTCAGAGATTATTTGAAGTTTCGATTTTGGTGTAATTTTTAGTGCAGTTTTGAAACATTTCTACAGATATTTAAAGAAGCTCACAATATATTTTTGCAGTTGAGACAAAAGTTCATCGGGAAATGGAACGTTTTAATTGCAACCCTAGAATAATTTTGCTCCTTTCCACCTCTACCATTTATTGGATTTTCTCCGATTTGACCCATGAAGCTGATGCTTAAGTATGGTGTTAATGGGGGAAAAAGGACAAAAGCATGCAGTTCTCTGACTGGTGTGAGGAAAACTGCTATGTCTGTAGGTGGTGGCTTAATAAATGATGAATTAGCATGGGTGAGATGGCCTAGAAGTTGTTTGTTTGTTTGTTTATTTTATATCTCGCCTATCTGGTCAGGTCAGGATCACTCTAGGCAGCTAACAACATAGACAAAAGCATGCTCTGACTGGTGTGAGGAAAACTGCTATGTCTGTAGGTGGTGGCTGAATAAATGATGAATTAGCATGGGTGAGATGGCCTAGAAGTTGTTTGTTTGTTTGTTTATTTTATTTTAGACACTTAAATCCAATGACCCCTGAAAACAAAATTAAATTACAAGAAAATGAAATGCCCCCCCCCAAAATAACATTTAATGATTTAGTTGCAAGTGAATTTTAAGACGCAAAAAGAAATATAAAAAGGGCATAAAAACAAATGCGGGAACTAAAAATTTCAAGACAAAAAGTCTGAAACTAAATTAAAATTGGAGGAAAATATATATTCTTGCACACTGTAAAAAGGCTGCAGCCATCTTCACAGGTTTGGCTTGCTCCAGCGCCCCCCCCCCCCCCCCCCCCCCCTCCCGTGTCCCCCTGCCGCCCCG